ATTTAAAGTATTTTATAAATAACAGCGGTTTATTGTTCAGTTTGGAGGTAACTTTGGATTTTTTTTCTATCGAGAAAATTTTACGGAATCGTGTTTTCGTCTAACATAGTCCTTAACATTAATCCTCAACTTTACTATATATTTATTTCAAAATTAATGCTGCAAACCTTCTTGCATAACGGAGGATCTTGCTAAGCCATTTGAGGTTATATTTCCTTTTAATAATAGGTACTAATTATAACTTGAGAACATAAATGAAAAACTCATGAGAAGGAAAGTGGCTCAGGACCATGCTTTGCGGCAGTCTGTGGAGGAGGATGTTCAGTAGTGGACTTGTGAAGAGCTGTAATGATGATGATGATTCGAAAACTTGCACGATTAAATTATAAGAAATCGACGTTTTTTATAGGATAGGGTGACAAACGAGCACACAATCCACCTGATGGTAAGTGGTTACCGTGGCCCACACACATCTACATCTATCCTCGATTACGAATCAAAATGCAGATGCGTTGTCACCCGTGAGGACTAAGATGAAATGTGTTAAAGGGTCTCTGGTTCTCTACACTCACTATACGAAACACAGCATCATTAAGCTACTACTTCACGCTGATATTCTGTGAGAGCGTGGTCCTTACCCGGTCGAGACGACTCATTCGTGCTACAACTATACTTCTATATAACTGCATGGTTCTATCACATATAAACGACGTGCTTCATTTTTTTTTCATTTTAAAATTGTTCCCGTAATAATCTGATTGTAAATAAATGTTCATTGTTTGATAAATAGTTTATCGATTAAAACAAACGTTTAAAAATAATTAAATCGCGCTAATTAAAGTAGTAGGAATGTTTAAAGGTGAAATTGACACCAATAGGCTGGTAATTGGAGCATGCACCCTACAAAGCGTGAATATAAAATTTAAATCAGATGCGTGTAATCACTCTGGGAGCTTGTAGCAAACTAAACGCGTGCCCAACGTGTGGACGCGGCGACCAAACTCTGCCAACAACTGTTATTTTTTATTTAACTGTTAATTTTATCTGCTAAAAAAATTAACAAGTAACTTTTAACAAATAAATAAATTTAACCATTAACGCCATTTCTAGCAGTGAGGGATCGCGGTAGACTTAGCTCGCCATCTCACTCGCACCCACCTATGTACATACTGCCTCGCGCTCGCTCCTACAGCTACCCTACATGTTTGTCTGACAAGGGGTTGGAGCTATCAAAAATGTCTGGCTAACGAGGGATCATCATTTACTTAGTACGCAAGTATTTTATATAAAAATCAGCTTTTATAGTATAACGTAAGTAAAATTACGATTTCATGAGCATTAAGGGTGTCTGGCAAGGGGTTGCCACGATGTTAAGTGTCTGGCAATGAATAATATTATTTGACGAATTTCGATCGGTATTTTACACACCTTTAGCACCATTTACCTGCCAAAGCCACTGTAATCCAACCTTCATAATGGTCCATCGTTCTTACCTGTGTTGGGAGCGTGCGCTGACAAACTATCAGCTTTTATAAAATAACGAGGGTCTGGGATTCACGGGCTCTTACTCTTATTGAGTTGCCTAGTACAGTGGCCGCCTCAAAGCACTAAGCAAAGCAAAACAAATTCAAAGCAAATTCTGGGTTCTATAGTCGCCGTCAGTTTGACTTCTAAGGATGATGTTAAGGAAAATTATCCCGATCTCCAACAGTTTATGTATTGATGAGGAATATGATTGGGTTTGCCAACAGTCCCGAGTTTTTCAGGACATCCCGCATCTAGACATAATCTCAGCCTTCCCTACAAGTGTCTTTGTGGCCTTATGCCTCGGATATCATTGAATCATATGTCTTTAGACAATACGTGGTCTTTCTGACACCAAGCTCAAGGACTAGGACGACAAATGAATAGGAATGAAGTAGCTGTGACCTCATCACTACATTCTCGTTACTGGTATAAAGTCTATTACAATTTAACCTTACAAATTTGTAAGGTGAAATTGTAATATATATGTATATTCCCCATGTAGTGGTGGCTGAGAGTCCACTCCTCCGAATCGTGCGCTGGGTAACGTAAGAGACGGTAGAAGAAAACGGAAACAGGAAATGGGTAGCAGCATCTTACTGATAACAACTCCATGTCATAAACAACTGCGGTTGCCAAACCGCCTTACTAGCGTGGCAACTATGGCAAAATCCTCTATATGAGATATTCTATAAGCGAGACATATGTTTAGCAGTAGAATTTTATAGTCTGTAGTGGATGGACTGATGGATTTGACCTTTTAATTTTGTATGACGTGTATTAAGTGATGATGAAACTTCGCCTGCAAAAAATACCACAAACTTTATCTGGATCAATTTTAACAAAATCATAGTAAAATCGATTTCACCTTTCGCATTTCATACTGATTAGTGTGTCGCACAACTTAAAAAATCTTCTAGCAAATGACTTGCATAGTTAACAAGCTTTAATATCATGGTATAAGGTTTTTATAATTATAAAAAAGTTTTATAAATAATGTTACTCACACTGGACACGTCTCAAGACGCAGCATCAAGTCCCGTTTCCCCAGCAGCAGTAAGGCGTAAGGCTTGTACACAAGCTGCGGCGATTACTGACGGTAACTCATTGCAGAGTGTTTTATTTACCATTAAATCGCATAAGCAGAGAAAGACCGCTGCTATTTCAATTTCATCGGGATGAGCGTCATCTAACCACCAGGACAAGTAAGTTATATAATCTTGAGGTACAACTGGTTGCGATGGAAATTTCTGGAAAAATGTGTTGAAAATAATATATAAAATTTGTGCACGCTATTAAAACTATTTTGTTTGATGTGTCGCTATCACTACTCTACAGTCCATTACAAGTCTAATACAGAACTTGACCACCCCGAAAGTACCAGCATCCATCGAGGCATAATTACATGTTTCATCAGGTTGTGTCAGGCCTTCTATTGGCTCGGAGTCCGAGGCTGCCACTCAATGAACTTTATTCTCCACCAATTGTATCATGCAATCACATACAACTGGACAATTAAATACACACAAAAGAAAGAAAACTTAAAATCGAATTTCAAAGAAATTTGTAATAATTGCTCGCAATTATAGCGTGGCAATTAAGGCAAATAAATAATTACATGTTAATATAAAACTATTTATATATATCCTAATAATTACTTCTTCATCAGCCCTTAAAAGTTCACTGTTAAACATGGGAACTTTCTCACATTGTTGGCGATATTATTCGCCATACTTAATCGTCACGCTTAGTACGCGAATTGACGATGGTAGTACCAGATGTCTCGCGCCTTTGACGTTGATCCACTTCGCCTAAGTATTTTATGTTTTACATAAATGAGATTGTTTTCCACCATAGCCATAAGCCATAAGATATCTCCGGGATTTCATACAGTCGCCTCATATATCACTCACAGGTGGAAAATATATAGTCGCCTCTTACACCAACCACAGGTCGTAAGTAAAATTATTAAAGTAGAAGTTTAAATTAAAGTAGTTACTGTGACATACCAATTTCATTAAGATCGCCTCTTCAGCCCTCAATAATTGTGTTTTACTAAATGCTCCGTTTGCACATTTAATAAGCATAGAAGCGGAGGCCACAGGTCCATGAATTTTCTGAGCGATCCAGAAGCAAGCGGCTGCAATCTGCTGCAACTGCTCCGGCCAAACGCTACAGACTCTCAAGACCGAGTCTAGATACCAGGATGCTGTCTGGATCACCGCTGGATTGCCATCAGATCCCTTTAAACAGAAATAGGAAATTATTTATAAACTAGTGATTCACCCCGCTTCGCACGGGTGATTGTTGAATCTCGACAACATTATTATATTATTTAAATTATAGCACGAGGGGGATGGAGCATTGACTTCATTATATGAGGTCTTTCAAACTTCACGTTTAAGCTCAGTGTCCCTCTCACCATTCGGTGATCGCTGCCAGTTTTCACCCTTGTGATCACTGTGTCATCACTGAACAGTTGTCATCTGATTTAAATAAAACTAGTTTTAACATATTTTATCGCATATCTTAACTTATTTTCCTGGCATTTCGAGTACTTTACAGCACTTATGGTCACGGGGGGAATGAGGTGTTCGAGTGTCTGAGCGTTTGTACGACACTCACAATACCTTTAGATAAAGTAACTGCATTGTTAGACCATCTTAACTCCGTACATTCTAAAATTCATTTCACAGAGGAGTTAGTGCCAAACAATTCTTTAGCTTTTTTAGATGTGCTTGTAATTCGAAATCCTGATGACACCTTAAGCCACACTGTGTATAGAAGAAAGACACATACAGGTAGATATTTAAACCGTGATTCTTCTCCACAGTTAGCTACCGTGGGTAAATCTTTGTTTCAGAGAGCACAAAGGATCTGTGACAGTAAACACCTGGCTAACACGTCAAGCAAGTTTTGTATGACAAGATGCTTAGAGTCCCACACCTATGTCACAGTGGACGAGTGAAGCTGGCCACAGTCGAGCGTGTACCTGCTGTACTGCCATATGTTAGAGGTATCATTGCAAAGATTGGCTACATTTTTAAGTGTGCTTCCATTAAAACATACTTCAAGTTGCTGAAGAATATTAGTCTGTTCTTACCATCAGTCAAGTGTAATGTCCCTATGCAAGAAGCAGGAGTGTGTTGATCGTGAATGTGATCTCTCTTACATAGGACAAACAAAAAGATCAATAAAAACCCGTGTTAAAGAACATGTAGCTGATGTGAAGAATCGACGCTCCGGGAAGTCTGCAGTCTATGAACACGTACAGGATCGCCCCCGTCACTATATCAGATTTGATAGATCACAAATCCTTGTTAAAGAACACCGATCCCTACCGAAGATGATTTGTATGGCTATTGAAATCAAAATACATCCTAATTTCAATAGAATAGAAGATGGCTGGGTGCTACCATCTGCTTGGGATCCTATAAGGTACACCCATTTTCAAAAAGTGGTTTAAATGAATCCTAAAGTGAAAATGAACTGCTATAATTTTTATAGTGTCATAAAAATTACTTTTAACCTATCGTTTTAAATTTTCACGTGAAAACGCTAGCTGCCATGCTGTTGAACTCATGACATCACTGCCCTAGAAATTTGCCAATTTTGGATGTTTAATAATGAGTTATCATCTTTATCACTGGTGTGATGTGCCAGAATGCAAAAATACGATCATAAGAATGTCGGATATGGATTTAAGTGCCAACTGATTTAAATATGAGAAATACTTAGTTAAAACTGACAAGAAGATACCCGAATACATTCTCTACTAAAACTAGACTATATTTCTATAAAGATTATTAGATGGAAGTATGACTTATATTTAACTATTGTTTATACACAACGAATCATGAAGTTAAGTATAGGTATTCCAAGTCAAGACAGTAGTAGATATTATAACTGACGATTGCTAATGATTGTAATCATATATAAACATAACTATGCGTTACCAAAATACACTTTGACCTGGTATTGTGTAAATACAAAAGTTGGTCACAGGTACGTACATTGATGTGAGTTTTAGCATTCCTCAACTCAGCAGAACAAAAATCAGGATTACATGCAAAACATGTTGCCACTATCAATGTATTTATTTACCTTGGTAGATTTATACTTTCTGCTTCTACAAATCCGTCTTCCATGATGCCTTTTCAATAAAATGCGGAATAAAACTAAACAATCGTAATGATAACTTGAAAATTTTTGAAATAACACCAAATAACACAGCACATTACATAAGGTATGTTCCGAAATATTTTTTTTTTTTATATGGCAACCTAACAATTACTGCCAACCTCCAGTCAATAAAAATACTTGTAACTTGAAACGAAACGACGGACAATCTAAAGAGAAACTACGATTCTGATTAAAAACCAAAATCATAATGTTAAGAACCATAGAATACTATAATAATGAATCATGAAATGACTTGTACTGAAGTATATTAAATAAATGATGGATATTAGGTTGAATTAAAATAATACTAAAGTCAATACCACATTAAAAATGATCAGTATTACTAAATAAAGACGATTGATAGCTAAATAATGAATAAAATTTTATAATCTAATATTATTTAAATCTAAAAATTCCATAAGACAATTGAAAACATTTTTACTTTTTTTTAGAAAAATTAAAAGAGAACAAATTTCTGTAGGAAGAGGAATTTTAAGATTTACCAAAGTGTTAAATAATGAAGTATGATCATATAACGGACACGAGAAGAAAATATGGTTGAGGTCACCAATATCCAAACCACATTCACATATTGAAGAATTTTTAATATGAAGCCTAGCAAGGTGAACCGAATTACAGCAGTGACCCAAGCGCATTCTACATAACATTGATGTATGTTTCTTATTTAAGGATAATTTATAAAACCAAGGCTTAGAAGGAATGATGGGTTGAATTTTGGCATAGTGACAGCCTTTTGTCGTTTTGGTTTTGTTCCAATGTTTTGACCATCTATCTCTATATACTAATTTCGTAGTTCTTATAAGGTCGTAGCAATAATTTTTAAATAAGAAAGTATCCCCACAGACTATAGCTTGTTTAGCAAGTTTGTCAGCATATTCATTACCAGATATACCAATATGACTCGGAATCCAAACGAGAGAAATGTTGATGTTTTGAAATTGGTATAAGAATAGAAGTTTCTTAATTTCAAATATCAAAGGATTGCGGGAAATGTCATAGAAAGGATTACATAACAATGCTTGTAAAGAACTAAGAGAATCTGAAAATATCACGCTTGATTTTAATTTAAAAAAGATAGCAATATTTTATTGATTGTAAAATGGCTAACATTTCTCCAGTAAAAACTGAAGATTCGGGAGGACTTTTCATTTTTTGAACTATTCTCCAATTTTGATGGTATATTGCATATCCAGTACAACCTTTTGAGTTAGTCTTAGAAGCATCTGTAAAAATATAATGACAATCTGGGAAATTCTTGTCCAACGTAAATACAAATCTTTTATTTGATTCAATAGAAAATTTATTTAATCCTATATCTAATATAACATTGGGTTTGAAAAGTGCAACTTCAAACGAATTGGAGAAAAGAGGCAGAGTCGCCGACCTATAAATAGGATCTAGTAAGGAATTATAATGTTCATAGCTTTTAACTAGGTTAGGAGTTTCTTTATTACCCCAGTATTTTCCTGAATTAATTGAAATGTACTGAGAAAGCAAACGAATTTTAGGTAGTAATGGATGGTTTGAAAATTGAAGAACCCGATAAAAAAAGGAATCCGATAAATATTGTCGTCTAATAAAAAGTGGAGGATCACCGCATTCAATCTGCAAGGCATTGATAGGCGACGAATTCATAGCGCCTATAATTAATCTTAAAGACTTGTGTTGAATGATATCTAATATTTTTAATCCTTTTTTACTAGTTGGTTCAAGAAGAAATGAGGCATAATCTAAACGGCTTCTTATAATTGCATTATAAATTAATTTTAAATAATATGGATGAGCGCCCCACCATACCCCGCACAAAGCTCTAAGAATGTTTATATTTTTTTCGCATTTTTTTTGGGTATAAATTATATGAGGCATGCCGGATAATTTATTATCAAGAATTACACCAAGGAATTTAACTTGTTGAATATTTACGAGCGGATAATCAAAAAGGCGAACTTGGATTTCAGGTAAAACTCTTTTGCGAGAAAAAATTACTGTATTACTTTTATTTGGGGAAAGTTCTAGCCCATGATCATCTAACCAAGAGGCCATAGAGAGGAGATCTTGTTCTATCGCATTAGCACAAGATTCTATACATTTATCATTAACATAAACTAAGATATCATCAGCATATTGCAAAATTCTACACTTTGAAATAGACTGGTCCAAATCTGACGTATAAATATTGTATAATAAAGGACTTAAAACAGAGCCTTGTGGAAGGCCTTTAAAAACCTTTCGAGTATATTTTAGATCATCATCAATTTTAATATGTATATATCGATCTAGAAATAAATTGATAATCAAATTTGTAAGTTTTTTGGATATATTAAGCTTAAACATCTTTTCTCTAAGGATGTTGAGTCTGACATTATCGTAAGCAGAAGAAATATCAAGGAAAGCAGCAAGGACCGATTCATTTCTCGAAAATGCTAGTCTAATATCTGTGGTGAAGATAGAAAGACTGTCATATGTGCTTTTACCTTTTCTGAATCCATATTGGGAATTTGATAACAATCCATGACTTTCTACATACCATTCAAGACGGTTCTTGATCATATGTTCAAAGGTTTTAATTAGAGTTGAGGATAGAGCGATCGGTCTATAAGAAGAGCCGTCGTTAGGATTTTTGTCAGGTTTCAAGATAGGAATAATTACTTGAGTCCGCCAACAGTCAGGAACAAAGCCTATGTCAAACAAAACGTTAATGATATTTAAATAATAGGATAAAATTTGATCATTACATTTGGCAAGTAGTGAATATGGAATACCGTCTAAACCAGGAGCTGAATCTTGAACGTGAGAAAGGACGAGCTTTAATTCATATAAAGAAAATGGACGCTCTAAGGGATCAAAAAAAGAATCACATGGAATACTTTGAGGTAGCTCCTCTCTCAAAGGAGCAGAAGAGGGGGCAAGTTTATCTAGAAGAGTGTTTATAGATTGAGACGGAATGGCACCACCGTAAGAACAAGATGAAAAACAACAGCGAAATTTTCTAATATTACGCCAAACAACTGATGAAGGCATTGAAGGAGAAATTGAGGAACAAAAGGCATGCCAACGTGTTTGTTTTTTTGTGCGAAGAGTATTTTTAGTCACTTCTTGTACACGTTGAAGGTATGAATAGTTTTCCGAACTCATGTCTAATTTATATTGTTTTTCGGCTTGTTTCCTATTACGAATGGCCTCAGAACATTCAGAATCCCACCATGGAGGGGAGGGCCTACATTTATTATTTAGAGTTTTAACAGGAATTGTTTGATCTGCTGCATTTATAACTGCGTTTGTAAATGCTTCAACAATAGAAGTTATATTATTTTCAGAAATAGGAGCGATTTTTAGAATTTCATTGTAAAGAAAAATATTGTACAGGTTCCAGTCTGCTCTGTCTAATTTGTATTTAATACATGGTTTTTTGTTAATTTCTGCCAATTCTTTGTTTGGAAAGGAAATCAGAATGGGAAAATGGTCACTGCCGTGAGAGCTATCTAGAACTGACCAATTTAGAAGAGTGGTTAAATCAGGAGTACAAATTGATAAATCTACAGCACTTCTAGACTCATTAGGACGAGAGCGTTTGATAATTTTACCAGTATTAAGGACACAAATATTAAGTTCGTCAATTATTTCAACTAATAAACTACCGTATTTATCAGTATTATCACCCCATAAATAATGATGACAATTAAAGTCACCAAGAATTATAAATGGTTTGGGTAAGGAGGCTATTAAAGATTTTATTCTGCGAAACGTATGGACAGAAGGGGAGGGAACATAAATAGAAACGAAAGCTATATTTTGAATTCTTACTGCTACAATATTAAAGTCAAATATTTCATCATAAACATCTATAATGGAATAAGTTATATTATTTTTTTATAAGCAAAGCACATCCGGCATAACCATCAGATCTGTCACTTCGAACAAGACAAAAACCAGGTACTCTGATATTCGAATCCGGTTTTAGCCATGTCTCTGAAATAGCAGCGATACACACACTGTATTTCTTTAATAAATAGATTATTTCAGTACGTTTATCTAAAATGCTTCTACAATTCCATTGAAGGATCTTTGTGAGAGTGAATGTCTTGGAGAATTTTAGGTATAGAATTTAGTAAGCGAGCAACGTGGGACGGTAGTTTCGACGAATACGAAGATATGATTATGTTAATAAGGAAACTTATAATGCTTTCTACAGAATCAAAATTACCCTGTGAAGTAACTGGTGAAACCCGAAGAGCACAGCCATCCTCAGGTTGCGGAATTGAAAAATCTTCAATAATTTTTTGATGACTTTTTTTGTCGTATCCTGTTTGTGAATGGTGACGTAATGCTTTAGGAATATATAATGTTTTCTTATAAGAAGTTTTATTAGATGTAGCGGGGTTGGAAGGAAAATTATTCACTGTAGGATTAGTAGAAAGCGAAGAATTTTCAGGGAATTTAGAAATCAAAACATCAGCATATGATTTTGAAGAAACTTGTGGATATTTTTGAGATGCTTCTAGGTATGAGATAGACTTTTGTGCCATTTCAATTTTAATATTATTTTGTCTTGTGTGTTCAGGACATCTAGAATCTGTGGCTTTGTGGTTACCTGAGCAAAATAAGCAACGAAAAGATCCATTATCTTTGTCGCAAGAAGAAGAGGAGTGATCACCTCCACATTTTGAGCATCTTGGCTTGGAACGACATAAATCTTTAGTATGACCAAATCTGCAGCACTGAAAGCATTGGATCGTTGGAAGCTTATAAATTTCAACAGGAATGGAAGAATAGCATAAATAAACTCCTCGAGGGAAGAATTTGACCGTCAAATGTGATTACGACACTTTCAGAGCTTTCATATCTGACTTTGTCCTCGTTGCGAACTCGGTAATTTAATCTTCTTACTTTTAATACAGGAATGGTATTTGGATACGAAGATAATTCGGAAATAATCTCTTCTGGTGTCCAATCTTTTGGTACACCTTTTATAACTCCCATACGAGATACGTGAAATGATGGAATAAAGGTTTTATATTTATCATTTACGGATGGATTTTCTAAAAATAGATTTGCGTCAATAAATTTAGAGAATTCAACCGTTATTCTATTTCTCCCGATACGTTTTAGGCCTCCATTAACTATATTTTGTACATTTAATTTTTTCAAAAAGTGACCAAATGAAATGGCATTTAAAGTTTTACCAGAATTAGGAGAGTCTTCTTTTACTTGAACATGAACGATAAAAGGACCTGAATCTGTAGAATTATAAGAACGAAGAGATTGAAATCTTTGTGACTCTATTTTTTTATTTTTATCGCTATCAATATGCGTGTTAAGAGATTTAGAAGAGATATAACTATTGGCAGAATTTAATGTTTGTGATAGAGGAATGCCAGATGATTGTGAAAGAGGGATTTCAGATGATTGTGTACAAGCAATATTGGATGATAAAGACATGGGACATTCATAAGCACGTTGTCCTGACATATTGCTTTTGATAGAGTTCGAGCCTACAATTTTAATTTTAGATGATGAAGTATTACCAGTATCGTAGTCCGATTCTGAGAATGAGGAATTGGTGGAAAAAGCTGAAATTCTTCTATTTATGTCAACCCGATTAGCATGCTCTTCCTTCTTCCTTTCCTTCGTTTTATGTTTTCTTTTCTTTTTGTTTGAAATAATTTTGAAGTTGTCATCAAAAATTTCTTGCGATAATGACTGCCGTGGTTTTTTAAATGAACCTTCTAAATCATTTTCAATTTCCACATAAGCAGCTGGTGAGGAAATAATGTTAGTGTCAGAATAATTCGGATCCGGTGGCTTAGGCGGAATTGGATTAGACATGGCGACCGAGAGACTAAGGCTACGTTAAACTATTTTGTGATAGTATGAAATTGTCGCTAAATGAGATACAATATGAAAATGCAAATAAATATTATTAATATACTAATATAAAAGGAATGTAATCAGAATATTACAAGAAAACTTAAAATAATTAAAATGACAACAAAAACGCGTAAAACCGTTATTGACGTTCAGTTGACAACCTCTTTCCCTGTTCCGAAATACAACGCAGTGTACTGTCCAATGCAAATGACGTATCATTTGACACTTTATTGTACTAGCGTGCCGCCGCCATATTGTGTCGGATATCCGGCCATAATAAAACAATTTTTAATTTTGTGTTTGCCGAATGAAGCATGCCAGAATTTGTTTCTATTTATTCAAATACAAAAAAATTATAGAATAATTGATGGTATATCCATTAGGAGGATATAATGATTTTTGGAGCACAAAATGACAAAAAAATCGCTAACACTTTTCCAAATGGCGCAAAAGTATGACGTCATATACTGTCCAATGTTTTGGAACGAATCACCAGTATAGGGTCGATTCATGACGTCATTTGCATTGGACAGTACACTGCGTTGTATTTCGGAACATACCCCTAATTCTCTTCACGAGTGACGTCACGAGGGTTTTAATTGATGACGGACAGCGTTATGCAGATTTGAGGCACAGATATAAAATTATTCTTAAAATTGAAGGATAAAGTATAAAAGAAATCAATATTTCTCATTTACTTTTTGCAAAGTCTATTATAAATTCATAAATATAAATTCATAATAGGTATATGTTTATTGATTTGTTTAACATGGTGTAAAATACCCTATTATTAAAATTAAATCCCAACCTATACTACTACAAGATACTATAAGTTCATACTGTGTAGATTAGAACAAAAATTAATAATTTTAACCTCGAGGTAACCGTAGTTAACGGTGACATTGGGACGTCGAACACCTCGGCCAGCCTGTGACCGTAGGTGCTATAAAATACTCAAAACGTCGTGAATATAAAATGCGTTAAATTACGGCAAAATAATATAGCCTTTAAGGCAAGATATGGCATTTCATTGAAATAAAAAATCCAGTGGAGGGTTCTATTAACTTCGGCTCACATTCATTTTATTACTTACACATTCATTTACATAATATTGAAATACATACAAAATTAAAAAAAACAATAAAGAACTAAAAACTTAAGTTATCATACTACTCCCCGTGAAGAACGCTGTCTGCATTTTTTGCTGAATAGCTATATTAGCCTTTAAGCGAGAAGCCTTTAGGAAGCTTTATCTTATCATTTTACTACTTGATCCGATGTTAGAAAAATACCTGTTGAATATCTTTTGAATTTACGAATAAAACCTACACATAAATTAAATAAGTTAAGTATGAGAAACCTAAAAATAACTGAGCATGTAGTGAGGTGTACGAATATCCACTACCCATATCGTATATGTACCCATATGGTATGGTCTAAGTAAAACTTCCTGAGCGGACAACGTCGCGGGCACAGATAGCTATAAATAAACTTGTAATCTTAAAAAAATAACTGACCATGTAGTGAGGTGTAAGAATATCCACTACTCATATCGTATATGTACCCATATGGTATGGTCTAAGTAAAACTTCCTGAGCGGACAACGTCGCGGGCACAAATAGTAATAAATAAATTTGTAAGCTTAAAAAAAAGACTCCAGAATTTCTTGCCGGTTCTTATTG